TGCTAACCAGAAGGCTGGCGGTTCAAATCCACCAGCCACTCCTCGGAAGGAAGGTTGGGCAATCCTACTTCTGTAGTGATACTGCCTCTGAAACCCAAGAAGGGGTTGCTATAAGTCAGGGCTGACTCGATGGCAAATAACAACAACACAACAACAACTGGAAATATCAGATCAGGGTTTGAGCTGGCTGGGCAAAGAATGAGTTGCCTTCAGAACTACCTTCCCTCCCTCCCTCCTTCCCCAGCTCCAACCTCCATCCTACCTTTCTCTCCAGCCTCCTTGGCGTGTCCCACAACCTCCTTCACCACCTCCTCCACAATGTGAACTGAAAAGACGACACAAGTCCTTGAAAACACAATATCAGGCAAACCTCCTAACAGTTGGGCAGTTCTGGACACCTGGGGGGTGGAGGAAGTGGAGGGAGGGCTGCTCCCAACCAGAGCCCCCAGCTGGCTTCCCTCAGAGACTGAGTAGAGCTGCAGGGGACCAGCCCAGTGAGCCAGAGAGGGGCAGTGGGAGCATTGTGCTCTTAGGCCTGGCACAGCCTGGAATGTTGACAAACAGGCCCTCCCACCATCCAGGAACCTGGAGTCAAGGTTTGTTTCCCTAGACCTTTGGTTGGTCACAGCACCTCTCAGAATGCCCTGCTTGGACAAGCCCAATAAAGGCAGCAACAGGAGGAAGCCATATCCAGCAAAACCAAGTCCCCTAAAGCAACTCTCCCTTCAGACTTCTCTGTCCGCCACAGAGGTGTTCAGAATTTGTGTGTACCGAGCTAGAATGAAACATTTTGGAGTCAGAAGATCTGTTTCTAATTCTAGTTCTAACCTTTACTGGGGGCTCCCTCATCTATAAAATGGGAATAACACACAACCCCAGGAATGAGGGAAAGATTAAGTCAGGTGATTGACACCAGCTGTACAGTTAAAAATGGAAATGCAGATATAGTTACAGAAGAGCAAATACACTCAAACTCTTTTTCACAATAATGTCCAACAAGTGAGACCTAGACTAGCCTCGCATTTACACTGCTGACTTCAACATACAAAAAGGGCTTTCTGGGGATTTAAGAAAATTACAAATATCCTTTGTAACTGACTGCTGATTTCTTAATGAAGATGTCTTTAAAGCTTTAAAGTGATGGTGAAAAATAAAAACCCTTCTTTATAGGATATTCAGAACAGGTTGCTTTGGCATGAAGGGAAAGAACTCAGAACCCAGAAGCCTCCTCTGACCACTCTCCTTCTGACCTTCAGCAGTCACCCTCAACCACAGACCTCAAGAGTAGGCCAAGGTCAGGTCCAGGGCACTCTCATGCTCTGCCTTCCTTTCCGTTGAAGACTCCACCTCCACTTATGTGGTAGTGGAACTGTTGGCCAGGGTTCCAGATAGGCAAAGATGGCCCCAACTCACACATCTGCTGTTGGGGTCAATTTCATATAAACCCAATGTGTGTGCTCACAACACCAGGCTGAGGGGAACAACCCAAATGGGATCCACAGGGTCCTTACCAGCTTCATCGGTGGCCTTCTCAGTGCGGTGGGCCAGGCCCTCGGCAGCCAGCTTCCCCAGGCCTCCCAGCATTGTGAAACAGCAAGTGGCAGTCAAGCAGAATGCTGAGCCTGAACCAAGGCAGCTTATATAGTTGGCTCTGGTGCCTCCTTGCCAGGCGTTGGGGCGCCAGAGCCCTCACCTGGCAAGTGGGAGGCTGGGCGGGATGAGTCAGCGTAGGCAGCTTGGGAAGAAAAGATTGGGTGGGGCAGCTCAGCACTGGGTGTCAGCAGGGCCCCTCTGGCAGCAGGAGACTCCCCTACTTGGTGGAACACTATGAGGATAGGACCAGAGATCAGACCTGAGGCTGACCATTGTTGTTGTTTGCCGTCGAGTCGGCCCCGACTCATAGCGACCCCTCTCCTTGGGTTTCCAAGGCAGTATCACTACGGAAGTAGGATTGCCCAACCTTCCTTCCGAGGAGTGGCTGGTGGGTTTGAACCGCCAGCCTTCTGGTGAGCAGTCAAGTGCCTTAGGCACTATGCTACCAGAGCTCCTGAGGCTGACCATTAGGAGGGGGTAATTCCAGGTCACACTCCACTGCTGAGGCAGGGGCCTGTGAGATGCTTGGGAGACTACAGCCTCTGCCAGCCCCCTGGAGTCTCCCAGGCATGGGCTCTGGGGTGTGCCTGAGTACCCAGTGATGGGCCTACGGCTTCCAGCCTACTGCACTGAGAGCCCCAATGTGGCCTGGTCAATGGCTTGGAGTTTCTATGGTGTGTGGACCACAGTGCAGTGGGGGCTTGCTGCCTTCCCCATACCCAGGGATCAGAGAAGTATCCTAGCTGCCACTGTGAGGGTGGGGAGCTGGGGCTCCAGGCGGTGCCTGGCCCAAGGCAGAGGAGAACACTATATCAATCAGAAATGTAGTCAGCCCTGGCTTGTTAGTCAGCTGGCTGTCATGGAGCAGGGGGAGCCATGGCATGAGGGAACCCCTGCCCTCCCTGAACCTTGGAGCCCCAGTCTCGGGGGAGGTTAGCAGTGAGTTTCCTGCCCCCAAGTGTCCCTGGAGGAACAGAGGACCTCACCACCACTCTAACCAGAATTTCCATAAAGTCACTCTGCTGGCCCCTGACACATGCCTTACCAGACTGCCTCCCTAATTACTCTGGATGGAGGGAGATGCCTCAAGCCAAATGCCACATGCTCATCCCCTTAATCACTACCCTAGCCTAAGTCTCAGTTTCCTTGTCTATGAAATGGGGACAGCCATACCTTCCTGACCAGGTCACTGATAGTGGGATGATGTTTTTAAGCTGTGACTTGCAGCACCATGGTAAATATCTATTCTCTCCAACTCATCATTGGATGTGCCAGGGAGGGGTTCCTTGGCAGTGAGCTCCAACCTTCTGGCCAGGTAGGCCAAAGAGTAGCTTTAGCATGGGCCTGCCTCAGAAACAGAGGGCTGGGAGATGTGACCACACTGGACAGGAATCACTGAGAGCAGATGTGGGGAACCTCATGGACAGGTTCATGCCAGGACAAGAGTCTCAGGCCACCTCCCCTCATGCAGGCTTACTTAGCTCTCATTGCTGCCCTCCCAGGTGTGGCAGGACCTAATTAGGGTTTACCTGACCATGGACCTCACGGACCAGAGGCCCTCTCACATTCCTGTATGGTGCTGGGAGGCCCAGGGCTGCAGCAGGCCCGCCTATTGGGGGTAGTGGATGCTTTGGGCAGTGGGAACTCTAGGTCACAAGGCCTCAGACCCACACATGCTGTCCCCTTGGGCAGGGGTGGATCAGATCTTAAACAATTTGGAGGCAATTTTCTCTTTAAGAAAAGTAATACAAATTAAATTAAAATTTCACAAATGTAAATGTATGACCCATGGGACCCATTGCTAGAGCCCTCTCTAGCACCTTGGATGCACTATGGGAGGCATCCTGGAACGTAACCATGTGCAGATTACTCTGTCCTCCCTGGATGTTCTGCTCAGAGCTTCAGGGCAGCACTGCAGAGTAGGGGAAATCTGTACACATTGGTGGGAAATGGGCTGAGGGATCTACAGGGATACCCTTGAAACTGCCAAGGCCCCTTCCTCCTTTTCTCTGAGGTTGTGTGTGACCCCCAATCCCAGGGATCCTCTCTGTGCCCATTCCCAACATAAAAACAATGCCATCCACCTTCCACCAGCCCTGGAATGGCTTCCAGATCCCATACACTCCCTCTCCACCAGTTCCCACCCTGGGTGCTCTCCATAATCCCTTCACTTCAGGAGCTCACCAGCGATTGGATGTGCTCTTTGGAGTACAACCACTCAGCATAGCCCAGCCTGCTACAGTCTTTGGGAATAGTGCTTTCCTTCACTGTCAGGCTACTGTTGCCCCCATCAAGTCTTCCCCCCAAGATCTTCCTCCTCTCTTAACACACCAATCCGAGTGTGAGTACTCAACTCCAATGACATCACAGCATGGCCTCAGCATCCTGGGCAAGGCTGGGTCCAGACATGTGTCCCAAAAGCCCTATAGGGCCAGGCAAGGGTCTGAAGGGGTGAGCTGCCCAGGACCTGACTTAGGTTCCAGACCTTGGTGCTCTTCCAGCTCAATCTCTGTCCCAGTGTCCCTCCAGCCGAATCTGTGTAACCAACAGGGCCTTCTGAGCTCTACCTCTGGAGCAGGCCCCTTGGAGGATGGACCACTTTCCATCAAAAAAATCTGGGATGGCTCAAGGGCCTTCTAACCAGTGCTGGATTCTAGTCTAAGAGTCTAGGCTGTGCAGCTCCTGTAGGGAAATCTTTACCTGCCTAAATGAGGTTGAGAATAACTGAGGTGGGAATTGCATCCCTACCCCAACTTGGAAGACACTCAGCCCACACTGGGCCCCAAGAAAGCAGCCCTTGAACACAGACATCCCAGGTCAGGTTATCCTGAGTCAAAAGGTCAAGTCTAGGCTCTCTGCTGGGAGGGAGAATCAGGCCTTGGCAGGAGCAGACTATTGGAATTTGTTCAACAACCCAGCTTGGCAGAGGCTGAATCATCAGGTCAAGGAGAGTCAACTTCTCAAATAGCAATTTACTAATTTAACAATTCTCAATTTGGGGGTGGGGTGGTGGAGTGTTTAAGTAGTTAAGTGGTTGGGGCTTTCTTGTGTATAAACAAGGGCGATTTCTTGTGCAATTTGAACTACATGTGTCACAAATATCAAGTTTTATGATTGTCTACCTGCTTGTGCCTTTTTCCCACCTCTCTTCATTCATGGACTTGATTTCACAGTATGTCCAGTGCCCACATGTCCTGCACACACTGCTCCTCCCATCCACAGGGGAGCCATATCCAGACCCTAAAGACATGTCTCGTCACCCAAGGAACACTCCTTAGCATGTTCACATTCATGCATCCATGAGTATCCTGGTGATTCCTGGTGGAAAACAGGTCACAAGTAAGGGCTAACTGAGGAATGCATAAGGAAGATACTGTTTATAAGATACAGACAAAGTTAAAGGAACCACTTAGGATTGATGAAGCAGCCAGGGACCAGCAATGGTGTAAGCTGTTACCTCTCTAGGTCTGGAGGACAATTGATGGGCAGATACAGGACCTAATGAGAGCTGTGGCTGTAGGAGAAAGTCATCAAACGAGTTGCAGTCATCAACAGAACATATAGTTTCTGTCCCAGGAAAGAGGGGCCGGGGGAATAAAAACACCTCTCCTCTCCTCTCCCTCTCCAATATCTTACTGATATCTCCCATTGGCTGAATCCTACCTGATGCCAGTGATACTGCTAAGAGGCCAGGCCCCAGGGTCAGGACAGGGTAGAAAGAAGAAGTGAAAAAGGTAAATAGAGGGTACCAGCTCATCCTGTCAGACTCCCAGCTGTGGCAGGAAAAAGGCAGCAGCTTAATTCTAGATCTTCTCCCTTCTCCTTTGAAACTATATGGAGGAATAAGAACAGTGTTGGATCACCCAAGAAGCAAGGTAAGCACAGGCTTACTTGTACTTACCTAGTAATCTGTAGTGAACAATTTCACATTTTTTTCACCACATCAAAGATTCTGCTCCTAGGTATGGCTGGCATCTGTCTCTCTCCCAACCCCATAATGCCTTCTCACAGAATCTTTTCAGATTTATAATCCCTGATAGGTACGGAGTACCTAGGAAGCAAGAGCAAGGTAAGCATGGGCTTACTTGTGCTTACTTAATAATTCAACTTAGTGTACTAATCTACAGATTAGTAAGCACAAGTAAACCCATGCTCACCTTGCTTGTTGGGTAATCTGCCTCTGATTACAAGGAGCACGAAAGGAAAAAAAGCCCACCAACAACATACACATTAATCTTGACTTCAGAGAAAAAGAGGAGACTGGGAAAACTTGCAAATCCATATGCAAGTGAAACCTGCAAAACCAATGCAGGAAACCAGGGAAGTGCAGGAAAGGGAACTGGGAGGGCCTAATATTCACTCCTAGGAGGAAAAAGGTCCCTCTGAGGGAGAACTGCTTGGAACAGAACTAAAATCTGGTGAGGTGAATAAAGAAGGAGCAGATTATGACCAAGATCAGAGGGACTGCTTTCCAGAGGGAAGGAGCCCTTTGGAATGAGAAGGCTAGGTCCCATTCCCAAGGGGCTGCATCTGGGAAAAAGAAAGGCTTGGGAATTCTTCCTGAAATCCATTGGATTCTGAGAGGCAGAGGAGTCATGACTACACAGGTGACTCCAACACTTTCATGAAAGAAGAATGAGCACCTGATCAAAGGAGTCTACAAAACTCTCCTTTCTCCTCCCTCCATGGAAATCTGGAAAATTCCACTGAAGATATGAACCTCAAATTCCTGAAAACCGTCAATAAATCCTGAGTACAAGCGTTTTATAGCCAACAGGGTAGATTCCTGTCTTCCAACTCAATGCCAATAGAATTACAAAAATAGTAGAGTTTCCATATATTCCTCATCCAGCTTCCCCTAAAGTTAATGTCTTACATAACCACAGTAGAGTGCATTACTTAATATGACCCTTCTAGCCATAGTCTTTGTGACTCCCACAAAAAGACTGGGTGTGACTATGAAAACACAGTGTTTATGGCCCACTAAGAGG